TCCCCACAGCAGAATGGGGTCGCTCCCCACATCAGTTCGGTCATGGAGGTGGCTCGTACCTCCATGATCCATGTCGGTGCACCCCATTTTCTGTGGCCGTTCGCTGTTCGCTACGCTGCCCACCAGCTTAACCTGTGGCCACACTCCCTGCAGCCGCAGATTTCACCGACCCTCCTATCGACCGGGTCCCCTTGTGACGTGTCTGCGTTCCACGTTTGGGGCTGCCTTGCTCACGTTTGTGCCGCATCGTCCCTTGTGTCTTCCTTGGCTTCCCCTTAGACGCATCTGACTGGCACTTTTACCACCCGCATCGCATCGTTTCTTTCATTCTCGTGACGTCAATTTTGACGAGTCTGTCTCCTTCTACATCCGCTTTCCTCACCACGGTCTCCCGGTTACCTCGCCGCACCAGCAGCCGCCGCAGTTGGTCCGCAAACCGCTGCTATTGCATCCGCAGCTACAGCCGTAGTCACTGCCGCTGCAGAGGTCCGGGAGCTCTGGGGGTGCGGCCATTGAGGAGGGTGCTAGTCCTAGGAGTACTGGTGTGGCTTGTCCCGGTGGTCCTGGGCTTGGCACCGGTGCTAGAGAGGGTTCTCGTTTTGGGGGTGCTGGTTCTGGGGGTGCTAGACCTGGGGGTGGCACCGGTACTGGAGAGGGTTCTCGTTCTGTGGGTGGTGTCGTGGAGCGCCCCGGAGGTAGCCGTGGTGCAGCTGGAGGTTGTGGCGTCGAAGTGGAGCAGAAGCAGCAGTCGCCACCGGTATCTGCCCTTCGCCTCCTATGCCTTCCCTCCCCCGCCGCCGCCTCCTCCGCTTGTCTACGGCCCAATGTTTCCTTTGCCGGACTCGTCCCCGGCGCGTTTACCCCCTCGTTCTCCTCCTGTGTCGCCTCCCTTGTCTCCTGACCCGACCCTCCCCTCCCGCTGGTGGTCTCACCATGCCTCTCGTGCTTGTCCTATTTCTCCCGTCCAGCGCTCTCACCCTATGTCTCTTCTCCTCCTCTCTCTGACTTCCTCCGTGCCGCTATTCTGCTTATTCCTCGTGTTCTCGCCTCTCTTGTTACCGACCCGTTCGTTCCTGTCTCCCATCTTGACGCTCTTGTCACTACCATCGCTGACTTTGCCTCTACCTGCCGCCTTGACTACGCCACAGCTCTGGTCTCTGACCCTGCTCGTCCTCCGTCCGTCGCGGGTGCACCTACCCTTGGCAGTGACGTCCTAGAGGACATGCAGTTCGAGCTAGTTTTCTTGTCCGAGGCCGCTCCCCATCTCTGCTCCATGCTGCTAGTCCTTGAGGGTGACCCAGACGCCCTTGACATCCCGACCCCTCGCACCTACGCTCAGGCAACCTCGGGAACCTGGGCCTCTCAGTGGATAGCTGCCATGGACGCGGAGATGGCATCTTAGAGATCCACTGGCACCTACGTCGAAGTAGTTCCCTCACCTGGGGTGAACGTAGCCGATGGCCGATGGCTCTTCACGGTGAAGCGCCCTCCCGGAGAGCCGCCGGTGTTGAAGGCGCAGTACAGCGCTAGAGGCTTCAGTCAGCGCGAGGGTGTTGACTTATTTCAGACCTTCGCCCTGACCCTGAAGATGACTACTCTTCGGGCTCTGCTACACGTAGCAGCACTGCGTAACTACGAGCTGCACTCCCTCGACTTCTCTACATCGTTTCTTCAGGGCAGTCTGCATGAGCAGGTCGACGTGCGCCGCCCGCCAGGCTTCACCGGCACCTTCGCCCCTACGACCTAGTGGCTTCTCCGGCGTCCGGTTTACGGCCTGCGGTAGGCCCCCCTGAGTGGCACGACACGCTGTGTGCTACGTTAGCAGACTTGCAATTCTTCCCATCGTCTGCAAACCGTTTGCTCTTCGTTCATTCTGGCTTGACTCTGTTCTACATCCTTGTCTACGTAGATGACCTGGTCTTCGCTACTCAAGGCAGAGATGCACTGACCTCCATGAAGGCTGAGCTGCTGAGGAGACACACCTGCACTGACCCAGGAGAGCTGTCCCGCTACCTTGGCTTGCAGATCTCCACGGACAAAGTAGCGTGCACCATCACTCTCACACAGTCACACTTGGTGCGCCAAGTCCTTCAGAGGTCTTTTATTCTCCTCCGCACAACCCACACACCTGCCAGTAGATCACAGGCGCTCAACTCCAGTGCCTGAGGAGTCAGTGGAGCCTAGTGGTCCGTGCGCAGAGCTGGTGGGTTGCCTCATGTACCTGGTGATTTGCACTCGTCCAGATCTCGCATACCCTCTCAGCATGCTGGCTTGCTTTGTGGCAACAGGCAGACACCGACCACAGCACTGGTCGGCCGCTAAGAGGGTTTTGCGTTATCTAGCAAGTACATCGGGCATGGGGCTAGTGTTAGGAGGATGCGTGCTAGTGGTCCTTACAGAGCACACAGACGCTTCGTGGGCGGATGCCGCTGAGATGCTCAGGTCCTCCCAGGGCTACTGTTTTAGCCTTGGTGCAGGCGCCATCTCATGGAGGTCCACCCGCTAGTCATCTGTTGCCTAGTCTAGCTGTGAGGCTGAAATCTATGCCGGAGCCATGGCGGCATAGGAGCTCTATTGGCTGACATTCTTGCTCACAGACTTAGGTGAGCTGCCTAGTTCTGCCCCGGTCCTGTACGGTGACAACAGGGTCATGATCCTCGCAACATAGGGTGAGAACGTTGAACAGGAGAGACAAGATGAGCACGAGAGGCATGGTGAGACCACCAGCAGGAGGGGGGGGTCGGGTTAGGAGATAAGGGAGGAGAGACAGGAGGAGAACGAGGGGGGAAACGGGCCGGGGATGAGTCCGGCGGAGGAAAAACAGGGCCATAGAGAGGCGAGGGAGGCGGCGCCGGGGGAGGCACAGGCAGGTGGTCAGGGGAGGGAAGACCGAGGAGGCGAAGGGCGGACACTGGCGGCGTCTGCTGCTGCTGCTCCTCGCCGACACAAGAACCTGCAGCCACAACACGGCTACCTCTGGGACGCTCTACGCCAACACCCCCTGAACGAGAACCTGCTGCCGGGAGGCACTACCGGTGCCACCCCCAAGACTGCCGGGACAAGCCACGACTGTACCCCAAGACTAGCACCCTCAGAGTCAGCACCCCCAAGAACCAGCACTCTCCTCAACGCCCGCACCCCCAGAGCTTGCGGACCCCTGCGGCAGCGGCTGCGGTGGCGACGGCGGCTGCTGCGGCGGCGGCGAAGGAGGAGACATGGAGACAGGCAGTGAAACATGAGCCGTAGGGCCCCCATAGTCAGCCGACTCCTCCACCGGGACAACCGACGGGAAGGGAGTGATGTGAGACACAACAGACGGGGCAGGACGAGGAGGGAGAGAAGTAGGGGCTACCGGGGGAATGGGGACCAGGAACAGGGGCGGGGTAATCGGGAGACCTAGGTGAGGAAAGCGGGTGTAGAAAGACAGACTCGTCAAAAGTGACGTCACGAGAGTAAAAGAAACGGTGAGACGGCGGGTGGTAAAAGTGCCAGTCAGACGCATCAAGGGGGAAGCCAAGGAAGACACAAGGGACGGTGCAGGAAGTGAGCTTGTCCGTGCCAGAGGCACGAACGTGAGCGAGGCAACCCGAGACATAGAACACTGACGCGTCACCAAGGGACCCGGTCCAAAGGAGAGTCGGTGAAACCTGCGGCCGCTGGGAATGCGGCCACAGGTTAAGCTGGTGAGCAGCGTAGCGAACAGAAAACGGCCACAGAAAATGGGGTGCACCGGCATGGATCATGGAGGTACGAGCCACCTCCATGACCAAACCGATGCAGTGCTCAGCGACCTCATTGTGCTGCAGGGAGTCTGGCAGGGTGTACGACTGGGTGATGCCCTCCGCACGACAGAACTAGCCAAGCCGACCGGAGGCGAACTCGTCGCCACGGTTGGATTGGAGATGGAGAACGGGGAGGCCGCGGTGGACTCGCGCAGCTACGACCCACGAGATAAGAACGTCAGGCATGTCGGCCTTCCGCTCCAAGGAAAACACCATGGTGTAGCGCGTGTAGTCGTCGACAAGCATGGGAAAGTAGTCTTAGAATATACCATGCTATGCTAGTTGTGTATATTGTGTTTACATCCCTAGTTGGGTGTACACCTGTGTTGGGGTGTCAATCCAACCCAATTGTGGTTGGAGCCCCCAAACACAAGGACCACAATTGTGGGGGCACCACAAGTGGGTTGGCTAAACCACTGGTGGTACACCACACTTGGATCACCTCCAACTGGTGGTCAACCACATTTGGAAGGATCCTCCCTCCCTTGTGATTGGTCCTAACCCCCCTTTCCCTTCCAACCTTCCCTTCCTAGCTCATCTCTCTCTTCCTATGTAATGCCTTTGCTTCATCAATAAACTGAACCTTCCTGTTTCTAACATGGTATAGAGCAATAATGGCTCACGCCAACTTTTAAATCCCGATCCTTCCCCACGCTTCTGCCCCGTCCCCTTCCGACGTGCACCTCATTGCCGTCCCCTCCATCGCCGCTGCTAGACTCCTAGCCGCCGCCTCTCAACTAGTTTTCTGTTGGGTGGATTTTCAAAAACCCCCAATGCGCCAAACACCATAGCTCGCTCGATAGTTGACAGAATTGAGTGATTCGACTTGCCAAAAAACGCTCTTGGTGTCAGCTACAACGTCGTAAAAGTTCGGACTGTTTCATCGCTTGGATTGTCAGATATCGCTTTCCGAAGTTTGCACACTTTCCTGGATGTGATCACGAAGTGCTACTGAAATTTCTACCAAGTCCTATTTTCATCAGCTAACTGCCATCAGCTGAAGGAGCAGCAGCAGCAGCAGCAGCAACAGCGGCAGCAGCAGTAGTGGCAGCAGCAGCAGTGGGAGCAGCAGCAACAGCAACAGCAGCAGCAGCAGCAGCAGAAGGAGCAGCAGCAGCAGCAGCAGCAGCAGTATCTACAGCCATCCCCATCCTCCCCTCCTCTTTGAGCCGCCGCGGGTCCACCCGCCGCCGCTCCCTCCCGGCCACCGCGGGTCCACCCGCCGTCGCCTTCCTCCCACTCCATGTCACCAATGGCATCCTTTCCCCCTCCCGTCGACGTCTCGACCCTCGATCATCTCGTGCGCGCTGCCGACAACTCAGCAACCAATTGGTATTCCTTCGTCGGCAGCCTCCACCGCGTCCTCGGCAGTGCTTATGTCCTGCCGTTCCGCCTCCTGGACATCATGCTTGGTCTCCCAGAGGGTGACCTTGGGGACCCGCCGCCTCACCCTGGCGATCCCCCCCCTCTCATTCCCCATCCCGGCGAGGAACCTCCGCCCCCCATGGTACCTGTTGGCACCAGCACTCGCGCTGCCACCGCTGAAGTTGAGCAGCTCTTCCTTACTCAGCGTCGTGAGTTCCTCGTGCTCCATACTGATTACCTGATTGCGTTGGAGGAACACGAGCGGTCGGCAACCCTCCGCACCCAGCATGCCGCTACCGCCGCCGCTTATGCCGCTGACTCTGCGCGATTTGCTGAGCGTCGTCGCGCCTGGCTCGAGGCGGACAGCCGTGCTACTGGTGCCCTTCTCCTTGCCATCCCGTCTGCGCTGATGCGCAACTTCCAGGCACGTCGCATCGGCTCCCGCCAGATCTGGCTCGAGCTTGAGGCAATGTTCGAACGCACCGACTTCGATGCTGTCGGACCGCTCTTCAAGGAATACTTCAGCATCACGATCGAACATAGTGCTGGCGTCGTTGACTACACCAGCCGTCTCCTGGACCTTGCCTCCCGCCTTGAGGCTCGCCAGACTACTCTCCCCCCCAACCTTCAGATCTACCGTCTCCTCGAAGGCCTCTCCCCTCAATATGAAGTGCGCGTCATCGCCTTCACTGAGGCTCAGCCCCGCGCCTCCCTTGACACTGTGGTCCAATGGATCATTGACGCTGAGGCCCGCCTTCTCTCAACCCCCCCCTCCGGCCTGAACTCCACCGAGTCCCAAAACCCCCAGCTTGCAGTCACACAGCCGCGTCGTGGCGGGCGCCCACGTGGCGGCCGCACCAACCCTCAGGGAGGGGGTGGAGGTGGCGGTTGTGGGGGCAGCGGAGCCGGCGGCGGTGGTGGCGGGGTCGAGGGTGGCAGCAGTGGTGGTGGTGGAGGCAGTGGTGGCTCATCTGGTAGCCGTGGTGGCCGCCCTGGCACTCTCCCCCCATGTTCCTATCTTCGCCGTTTTGGTCCCAGGGCGGGTGAGCGCTGCACCCAAACCAACCATCCCCCCGCGACCTGCTTCAAGGCGTATGATGACGCCTGGTTCGAGCGCGGCAACACTGGCACCCCCCCACACTGGTCTGCCATGGATCCCCGCCCCTCTCTCCTGGATGTCAAAACTCTTCCGTCTTTCCTCCCCTCTCATCTTCAGCTCTCCTCCTCCTCCTCCTCTGTCGCTGACCCCATAACTCCCCAGGAGCTGCAGCAGTTTTGCCGCTTCCAGCAGCTGCAGCTGCTGCAGCAGCAGCAACAGTGGGGCTCTGGTGGTCAGGCTGCAGCCGCAGCTGCAGGAGCCGCAGCCGCAGCATCTGCAGCTTGGCTTTGGCACCGCCGCCATGGCTGCCACAGCCACACCAGGTCCTCCTGGCTTTCCCCTCTGGGGCTCTCCTTCCCCTAGTGCTCCCGCCTCCCACTCCAGCTTTCTAGGCGAGCTCATGCGTTCTTCCCCTGCTTCCACTTCCATGTATCCCTCTGTTTTTAATGCCAGTGATTTCCAGTACCCCGTGTCTTCAGCTCCCTCCTCGCTCACGATTGACTTTGTTCTCGATAGTGGTGCCACTGAAACTGCCCTCAAAGACGCCGGCACCCTCACCTCCCTCCCTTTCCCCACCAACGTTCATGGTGCTGATTCCAGCTTCTCCATCCCTTGCACTCATCTCTCCACCCTCCCCTGCCCCCCCTTCCCCTCTGGAGTGGTCACTGGTCTCCACATTCCCTCCCTTCGTCATAACCTGCTCTCCATTCGTGAACTCCAACAGGCTGGCATCACTACCCTCTTCCCCGCATCTGCCACCTACTGTGACCTCCTCCACGGCCCCACTCGCCGCCTCCTTCATCACCTCCCACTTTGCCCTCGCTCTCGTCAGTACATCCTCCGCACACCCCGCCCCTCCTCATGCCACGTGACCACTCGTGCAGGCACCTCCACTCTCCCCCCTCCCCTCCCTCTAGAGCCACCTTCCTCCAACTCCACCTCCTCCCCATGCTCTTGTCGCGCACTGTCCCACCCCGCTGTTCTCATCCACCACCGCCTTGGTCATATGAACTTTCCCACACTTCGTAAAGCCGTCTCCTCCCGCTTGCTTGACGGTCTTCCCCCCACTCTTCCTCCCCTCCCGTCCTCTTCCGCTCCCCCATGCGCCACATGCATTCATGGAAAGCTCAAACAACAGCCTCACCTCAGTCATCCTTCCTTTGCTGCTGCCCCCCTTGACCTCGTCCACATGGACCTCTGGGGCCCTAACCCTTCCCCTTCCCGCCAAGGGCACCGGTACATGCTTGTCCTAGTCGACGACCACAGCAGGTACTCCTCGGTGTTCCTCCTCCACACGAAGGCCGAGGCCCCTGCTGTCATCGTTACCTGGGCCGAGCAGTGTCGAGTCCACTTTGGTCGCCCCATCCGCCGCCTCCATTCCGACGGCGGTGGTGAGTTTCTCAACCGCACCCTCTCCTCCTACTGCTCAACCCATGGCATCCAGCAGACTCATACCCTTCCCCACTCCCCTCAGCAGAACGGTGTTGCTGAGAGTCGCATTTGTGAGATCACCAAGACGGCCCGCTGCCTCCTCACTCATGCCTCCACGCCCCCTTCTCTTTGGGGCTATGCCCTTGTCCATGCTGCTCTCCTTACTAATCTTTACCCACATCCTCAACGCCAGTCTGTCACTCCCACTGAGCTCTGGGCTAGCACCAAGCGAGATGCTGCCATTCTCCGTATCTGGGGTTGCAAGGCATATGTCCTCATCCCCCCACCTGACCGCTCTCGGCAGGCAGGAAAGCTCGCCTCCAAGGCCATTGAGTGTGTCTACCTTGGCCACGCTCGCTCTGTCCCTGGTTACCTCTTTCTTCACCCGTCCTCAGGCCGCCTCCTACAGAGCCGTGACGTGGTGTTCGATGAGAGCATCCCGTTCTATCATTCTGTTCCGCCTTCCGACCCCCTTCCTCCTCTCTCCCGCCCCCTCACCTGGGCTGATGCTGTCATTCCCCCACTCCTTCCCCAGGCTCCCCTCCTTCCTCCAAATCCTGCTCCTCCCCCTCCTCCTTCCTCAGGTGACATTTACGACCCAGCTGTCCCTGACTCCCCTGCTCACTCTGCCTCATCGCACCAGCACCAGCAGCAGCAGCAGCAGCAGCAGAAGGAGCAGCAGCAGCAGCAACAACAACAGCAGCAGCAGCAACGGATGGAGCAGCAGCAGCAGCAGCAGCAGCAGCAGCAGGTGCAGCAGCGGATGGAGCAGCAGCAGCAGCAGCAGCAGCAACCGCAGGCAGTGTAGCAACAGCAGCCGCAGCAGGAGGTGCAGCAGCAGCACCAGCAGCAGCCACAGCAGCAGCAGCAGCAGCAGCATCAGCCACTGCAGCAACCTCATCGGCATCGCCGCACCACCTCTCCGTTCATCCTCCCACACATCCACACTCGCTCTCACGGCCCACTCATAGGCCATCCATGGGGTTGGCCAACACCACCCCCACCCTCGCTTCCCTTCATTGAGGACTCCCATGAGGAGCTCATTGGCGTTCAGCAACAAACACCTTCCCTCACGCCTCTCTACCCGGGCTTCCTTGGCCTCCTCATCCTTGGCATCGCTACCGCTCCCACCAGATTCACTCCGTCCAACTTCCTTGAGGCCATCACCTGCCCCGATGCTGCCAAGTGGATCCAGGCTATCTTTGCTTAATGCGAGGCCTTCATCCGCAATGCCTCATTCGTTAACATTGTCCCCTCTCCTGACGACGTCATTGTTGAAGGCCTCTGGGTGTTCCGAGTGAAGCAGCTGCCGGGTGAGGAGCCGGTCTACAAGGCCCGGTATTGTGCCAAGGGCTTCACCCAAACCCATGGCATCGACTACTGGGAGACATTCTCTCCCACTGCCAAGCTCCCAACTCTCCGTGCCATCCTCGACTATGCTGTTCGCATTGGCATGGAGATTGCCTCCATGGATGTCTCCAACGCCTTCCTGCAAGGCGAGCTCCAGGAGCGGGTCCTCTTGCGGCGGCCTCCAGGCTTTCATGCAGCCTTCCCTGCCAACACAGTCTGGGAGCTGCGCCGCCCGGTTTATGGCCTCAAGCAGGCTCCTCGCGAGTGGCACAACAAGCTGGCCACCACTCTGCAGTCCTTGGGGTTCCATGCCTCTCAGTCTGATGCCAGCCTTTTCCTTCGCTCCTCTCCCACCCGCTTCTTCATCCTGGTGTATGTCGACGACATGATCCTGTTCGCTGACGATGCTGCCGCCATGCAGCAAGTGATGGACGCCCTGCATGCGCGCCTCAAGTGCAAGGACCTGGGTGAGCTCAAGCACTATCTGGGTATGACCATCACCCGGGACCGCACATCGCGCACCATTACACTCTCTCAGTCCTTCTACATCGACCAAGTCTTGCAGCGGTTCGACATGGCGCAGGCCAAGCCGGTTACCACTCCCCTGCAGACCGACCACCAGCTTGCCCCTCCTCCTGCTCCCTCCTCCTCTGACCATCCAGCACTCTCGACGCGGCCCAGGGACGGGGGCTGGGCCACAAACGTCCAAGTGCAGAGTCTGGAGTGGCGTAGTGGTGGGGGGAAACGAGGAGTGAGGAGCATGGCACAATTGGCCCTCGATGCAGGGTGTGCACGGCGGTGCAGGGGAGGGAGGGAGGACAGGGAGCTACCCAAGGAGACCTAAGACAAGACCGTGCTGGGACATGTGAGGTAGACGTGGGAGAGTAGGGTGACCTAGACGGTGGTGCTACAGGATGGACGGGTGAGTGAGCGACCAACACGAGTAAGCCGCAGCGACCTAGGAGGGTGCAACCACCTGGGGAGACGCTCCCACTGGGGGGCGCGCGGTGTCAAGCGTAAACAGGCCTGGCACCGGGTCCCAGGGGAAACGTGGTGAGAGGCACCAGTGGCGGCCTCGGTAGAGTCTGCATACAGCTCGTGTCCAGGGAACTTAATGGTGATGCCGAGGTCCTGAAGATAGCCGACACCAACTAGGTTCCTGGAGAACGAGGGGATGTGCAAGCCTGTAAGGGAGCCCGAGGGAGCCGCGAGAAAAGGAAGGATGGTGGAGCTACGGTCGACTACCGGACCGGAGGAGGGGTCAGCAGGCGCGACAGCGGCGGGGACGCAAGCGGCATAAGAGCGATGTGGTCGCGAAAGAAGCTGGCGGGACGGACCAGAGTCTAGCATCAACGAGAGCGCGGCGGTAGCGGCGGCTGGCAGAGGGGCTAGGGTGGAGAGTAGGCTAAACAAAGCTGGAGGTCCTATGCCTGGTGCAGCAGGGAAGCCTAGACTACACATAGGGGGCACACCTACACTAGGCAATATAGGGTAATAAGGTAAAGTCACACATCAGCATACATGGCATACAAAGCAGAGCGAATCTGATCCATATCCATCTCAGAGACTGGCACACAATGACGTACCAGGCTGTGCCAGTCGGTGGGGTCCGACGCAGGGCCGAATTGGAGACGGAAGAGGTCGTTGAGGCAGCGGTAGCAGCGAGCGGCGGTGTGACCGGGACGGTCCCAGACAGAGCCGCGGCGGGGGCTGGATTAAAGCTGGTATTGGCAGGTCACGACACTGGAGCCGCCACCTGACACCGAGTTGCACGGCCCACCACCACGACCACCATCACAAGAGCTGCTAGGCCACCATGGCGGCGGAGGTCCCCACGGCTGCTGCTGCTACTGATGCTGGGGTTGCTATTGCTGCTGCTGCGCCGAGGCATCAGTCCCGGTCCCCTCGTCTGCACCACTGTCCCCTCCATCACCCCCGCCACCTCCACCACCCCCGCCACCCCTCCCGCCGCCGCCACGCCCCCCTCAGGCCCGTCTTCCCCTACCCTGACGAGACTGCGCTGAGGCCGCCGCAGCGGTCTCGGCAGCAGGGGCCGTCTTAGCAACATCGACACAGACGTCAGAGTAAGTGCACTGGGAGGGAGTACTGCCCTGGAAGTTAGGGACCGCCGCAGTATTGCTCGACTGAGTGATAGTGCGCTGACGGGTCTCTATTGCGGACAAGGTAGTGACAAAGTTAGTGAGGGTGAGGTCAGCGGGGTGGAGGCCAAGGAAGTGGTCGCGGGCAGTGGCTAGGCGGTCAGGAAGGCGTGTGGTGAGGAAGTAGAGGGTAGCGCCGAGGGGGGGAGGCAGTACAAGGAGCTGAGCCTCAGTGCTAGCAGCACGGTAGCTAGCCTCTAGTGCACGCAGATGAGTGGCGAGATTAGCGACAGTGGGAAAGGATGCAAGACTAGGGAAGAGCAGGGGGAGAAGAAGACAGTCGGCAGAGGCGAAGGAGGGAGTGGAATAGCGCGCAATGATAGCATCTAAGTACTCCTTTGTAGACTCTAGAGCTTGGTAGCAAGGGCGCTCAGACAGGGGGAGGGCGCGACTGATATAGCGAGCTGCGCAACTACATCACGCGACTCCCTGACAGAGTGGGCGAGCTCAGCAGCTGCAAAGGCCTCACGCTCAGCGGGCGTGGGGGCGTCAGAGAGGGCAGCACGTGGGTTGGGGCAGGAGAGCTTACCGTCGACGTGGACGGCTGGAGACTGGCCATCCTGACGCTGTCCCCTTAGCAAGCGGCGGAGGTCGGCAAGCCACGCCTCAAAGTCGATCGCCCGACCCTTTGCATCCAGGAGGAGCACAGCGTCCGCCATCGCCACGTCTGCAGCAGCTGAACGCCACTAGACGGCTCGGTGGCTTGATGGCGCGGCGGCTCGGCGACTCGACGGCTCGGTGGCGCGGCGCAGCAGCTTGGCGGCTTGGCGGTGTGACACATAGCTAGGGCCGGTAGCGCCTGGGGCCAGCATGGACCGGGGCCGGCGCGATGTGGGGCCGGCGCGGAAGGGGGACGACGTGGACTGGCAGGGCCGGCTCGAAGTGGCAGGAGCCGGCACGAAGTGGCGGGGCAAGCGCAGAGTGGGAGGGCCGGCGCGGAGTGGCGGGGCCGGTGCGGAGTGGCGAGGCCGACGTAGAGTGGGGGGACCGGCGCAGAGTGGCGGGGCCGGCGCGGAGTGACGGGGCCGGCGCGGAGGTGGAGGGGCCGACGCAGGCTAGTGGGGCTGGCGCGGGGCCAGCGCGGACTAGCAGGGCCGGCGTGAAATGGCGGGTCCGGCACGGACTAGTGGGGCCGGCGCGAAGTGGCGGGGGCAGCAGTGGACTAGGGCGCGGGCTCGGGCGCGGTCTTGGACGCGGGCACGGGCTAGGGCGCGGGCGCTGGCCAGGGGATGGGGACGGGTGCGGGCTAGGGCGTAGACTAGGGGCGCGAGGGCGGCTCGAGCGCGGGCTAGGGCTAGGGCGCGGCTAGGACACGGGCTAGGGCTAGGGCTAGGGCTAGGGCTAGGGGCGGAAGCGTAAGCGGGGAGGGGGACCTAATCTAGCTCTGATTCCACATCTGAATAACGCTATGACTAGAATGAGGCATACATGGAGGTTTTGTGCTATGGTGCTGTACTCTCTATGAGCATGCACCTATCTAGCCTATAAATATATACAAATATATGTTGACAATAAATTGATAATTACCTACAGCCATGACTGTTTTCGCAGTGCTAGCGTGCAGAAAGCCGCCCAAAACTTCAACGAAATGGTGGATCCGTCAGCATCTACCAGCATGACTCCTGAGGAAAGGGCGGCAATACTTATTGAGTCCGTCTCACTCACGAGTTGTACCAGCAGGAGTTGGCGCGTCTAAGAGCTGAAACGTCCCAAGCCGAATCCGAGATATCTGCACTTCGAAGCCAGCAGCAGCAGACACGATACAATACGACCGCACCAACGACAAATCAAGGACAACATGAGCAAGTAACCCAACAACGTTCCGAAATATCTGGCGACAATCAGCGACCACACGTGACTTCGCCCGAGGGTTTGACAAACAACCCGCCATCGAACTCAGCAGTTACAGCCTTCAAGGGCCGTTGTTTCGAAGGTAAGAGGCTGGGACACCACAAGTTAGAATTCCTAGAGGAGAGGAAGAAGCGGAATCAGGGGCAAGGGAATTCCAGCAACTAGGGAAACACTTAGTATCAGTAGTTACCGGGCCTACAACTGATGGAACCTGCTCGTCCGTGACCGATGACCCTCATCGAGTACTTGTACCGATCCACGCAATCGACCAAACCTGGTTGATTAAGGAGGGTGCAGCGACGGATTACCCCATTTATGTAGAGGGTAGGGTTCAAGGGAAAAAAAAAATCTTCGTGGACGGGGGAGCCAGCCACGGTCTGATCAACCGCGCCACGACCAAAAAAATGAAGTTACCCTTAGATAGGTGTCTACCGGAGATCGACGCCCGACTAGTCGATGGGACCCCACTAGCAATAAAAGACAGGGCTGACAAAATTAGGGTATGCTGTGGAGCTGATTTCAATTTTCCGATGGGGATGCTGTCAACTACACTCGACGGCTTCGATATGTTACTAGGACGGGATTGTCTGCGAAGATTCAACCCAAAGATTGGCTGGACGACCGGCAGCTGTTCCATCAAGATCAATGGCCGCAGTGTGGCGTTACCAGAATGGACGAAGGAGATCACAGGGGGAGTGACTCAGGTGAACTCCGTGGTGATCAAACGAGCGGTCGCACGGGGAGCGAAAGTCTTCGCTGTAGTCGTTCGTGCCGTGGACGTGGCATCACAGCCGTCCGATTTAGAGAAGCTGACAGCAGCAGTGCCGACCGATTTAGCGCAGCTGATTCACAGATTCCCACAGATATTTCCAGACGACCTTCCTGAGGGATTTCCACCGAAATGGCCCTTTGACCATCTAATCAAATTAGAACCTGGGACACAGCCCACAGTGCAGCGGCGATTTCGATTGACACAGCCAGAGTTAGAGGAATTGCGGAAGCAGTTAGACTACTTACTGGAGAAAAAATTCATCCGCCCGAGCTCTTCGCCATTTGCCGCCCCCATGCTGTTCACCCCAAAGAAGGATGGGGGGTACCGAATGTGCAATGACTACAGAGCACTGAACAGGGTGACTATCAGGTCACGTTACCCTATCCCGCGCACCGACGAACTGATCAACCAACTTCAGAAAGCTCGCCTCTTCTCTGAAATAGATTTACGAGGGGGTTACCCTCAGATTCGACTAGTCGCAGCTGACTGTCACAAGAATGCATTTTGTACTAGGTACGGGAGTTTTGAGTATATAGTTATGCCCTTCGGGTTGACGAATGCCCCGGCGACTTTTCAGATGACCATGAACCAAAACTTTAGTTCCGTCGTAGATAGGTATGTTATAGTCTACCTAGACGACATCGTGATCTACAGCGAGACCCGGGAGCAGCACTTAAAGGACCTCGAAGCAGTTTTCATGCTGTTGTAGGAGCATCTGCTGCTCACGAAGGGGTCTAAGTGCGAGTTTTTAAAATACCGTTTAGAATTTATGGGACACGTGATTTTCACTAAGGGCGTCGAAGTGGACCCGCACAAGATCGAGATAGTGCAAGCCTGCTACCGCGTACGAACCTGCAGGAGTTGCAAAGTTTCTTAGGGCTCGTCAACTATGTTTGGTGATTTATCTCGAATATGGCGGGGGTAACTGCACCGTTAACTGACCTGCTGCAGAAAGGGGCTAAGTATAGGTGGGGGGAGAAAGAGCAAGCTGCCTTTTCTTCGCTCAAAACTTTTCTATGCTCAACCCTTGTCCTTTGCATCGCCGATCCTCACCGTCCATTCAAAGTAATCACAGACGCCAGCGACATTGCCAACGGAGCAGTACTGTTACAGGACTTCGGCGAAGGCCTACAGCCAATCGCGTACGAGTCACGAGAATTGCACCCGCCCGAGCGAAATTACCCGATACACGACAAGGAGATGCTCGCGATCGTGCACGCATTCAAAGTATGGCGGTGCTACCTGACGGCGCGGACGTAACAGTACGGACAGACCACCGAAGCCTACAGTACATCCGCGCACAACCCACGACAAATTCGGTGGTTGGATTTTATGGAGTCCAATTTCCATTACACAGTCACCTACAAGAAAGGGGCATCCAACATTGCAGACCCCCTTTCTCGCCCATCCGCCCATCTCAACTCCATAATCCTCGCCCAAACATCCCCGCTATTAACAGGCCTATTTACCCACGGGCACCAGATGGACAGATTCTTTACATCGGGTGCGTACGAACAGCTCACAACTGCTAAGGGAGTTTATGTTGGTGCAACCCTATGGCTTGCACTCGGCTTGTCGTCCTTGTTTGTGTGTGTGCATGCATGGCATGGAATGAATTGTGAGTCTATGTCATTGCTATCCAGTGCTTGTGTGTGTGTTTGAATGGTGTATCACAATGTGGTTTGTGTCGGTCAAGACATTAGCGAGTTTTTACAAATCGCATGTCAAGTCGTCGTTTGTGTATCGCATGTGTTTTTTCTATTTTGTCGAGTGTGAAGTGTCCATCGTGTTGCAGGTGTGTGCAGCAAGCCCCCATCAACTCAAGAAGAATTTATCTTGCAGATCCAAGAACAAGAGCTCAAGATTTCAAGCCCAAGGGACGCGGATAAATATTAAATAGTGAAAATAGTAACGTTACTTCGTGTAGTGTTACATTTCACTTGGTGTAGCCCCTTGGAGGGTTGGTTTCGAGACTCTTCATGGTTGGGGACTCTGTGGTGGTGTACCACCAACCTGGACCTCGGCTCTTGGGGTATGTAGAGGCTGGGAACCATCTGCCTCTCGAACTCTTCTTGCTAAGTTTGTACTTCCAAGACTATAGTGGCTGCTTTACCTCCTGCCAGTCAAACCGCCATAGCGTTGTCAAATCTTCATGGAATTTCATGATTCAACTTGCTGCTGATAGACGACAGCAAAGTGCTCCAGATCCAACTTACAGATCACCGTTCGATTCAGCGACCAGATCGTTATCGATATTTGAAGCCGTCTGACGGAAATCCGACTGTGCTCTCTATCTCTCATTATAGGCACATCTAAGCCTATTGTGATTATAACAGTTTATAACGTAAAGATAGGGACTGGCCGCATCTGGGTACCAGAGTACAATCTACAATGGGAGTTACTCCTACAGGAAGCTCACAACATTACTGTTTTGGGGCACTTTGGGGTGGAGAAAACCCGGCAATAGTTGACCAGATACTATATTCGGCCCGACATGTAAGGGGACGTGCAGCGGCGGGTGGTTTCGTGCAGAACCTGCCAAACCATGAAATCATCGAAGTAGAAGCCAGCTGGACAGATGCAGTTGATTCTGCCACCTGAGCGCGCATGGCAGCAAGTGGCGATGGATCTCGTTACGGGATTGCCTGCCAAGGACGGCTGTAATGACGCAATATTTGTCGTTGTCGATAAGTTGACGAAGATGACCCACTTCGTCGCCTGCAAGAAAAGCATCTTTGCCGAAGAAACAACCCGCCTCTTCATCTCAATCGCCGTTCGCCTCCACGGAATCCCATCCGCCATCATTTCAGATCGTGATACAAAATTCACTAGTAACTTTTGGCGCAACCTCTGAGAACAGTTTGGCACGCGCATGCAATTCGCCTCCGCCTACCATCCCGAGACTGACGGACAGATCGAACGGGCCAATCAGACAATGGAGCAGCCGATTCGCGCCAATTGCAAAGACGTGGCCGACTGGGAACAACATCCGTCACTGATCAAGTTTGCGTATAATAACGCCCCGTCAGCCATTGCGCGACAGTCACCATTCTACCTAAACTACGGGTAGAACCCTACAGTACCGATCATGCCCAACATCGAAAATCTAGTACCACGAGCCCAACAGTTCGCCGATATATTACAAAATGCCCGGGAGCGAGCAGCCGAAGCCATTAAGTCCGAAAATGTAATTTCTAAGCGCAACGCCGATCTACACCTACGGGAGTTACTTACTAGGCTCGAGACTTAGTACTGCTCGACACCCAAAACCTTCGACTGCCCATCGTCCCAAAACTCCGCCCCCGCTACTGCAGACCATTCGCCATCAGCCACATGATATCTTCCGTTACAGCCCGTCTACTGTTACCAGCCACGTGGAAGGTCAGCCCATCATTCCACGTGCGATTACTTCGACCATACATTGCCAGCACCAGTAAGCTACCACGTCACTGAGCGAACCTGAACATCCGACCGCTCGCCGAGCCTACTGTCGAACCTGGAACCTGCGAAGGTTCTCAGCCATCGGATTAGGGATCCTCGAGGGGCTCGCCTGATCAAGTCTCTGATATCTTGGAAGGACCGGACAGCCCTGGAAAACAGTTGGGTGCCCCTGGCACAGATCAAGAATTACCCGGTGTTACGAGTCTACCTCTAGTCACGCAATGTGCGCGACGTCGGCGGTCTTAACTAAGACCATGCCTTGGAGGGGGGAGGGTGTAAGGAAATGGTATTTCCAATCAGAAACTCACCAGTCCTAACCACTGGGACAAGAAGGGATGTCATCAGAAGGGTTAGGCTCCATATATCCACCTTCCCCGGGGAAAGCCTCCCCAGCAGGGTTCCTGCTAACTTTTAAGGCAGTCTGAGAATCAGACGGGGTACGAGAGTTTTGTCTGACCATCATATGAGGTGTTTGGCTTGGTCTAAAATTTCAGACGAAGTATACAGCCTTATCTGTGTTTGCAGATGAAATTTGCCTCCTGAAAATTAAGCTGCTCTAGGCTTTGACTTAAGCACATGAAATGAAACATTAGATGTGTTTGAGACAGCACAGCAGCACTACTCGTAATAAGATTCCTCCTACGACAGCAGCAGCTACGGGCACTAAGTCATCCTACGAGCCACAGTTGTAGCCAACAAACATCCTACCAGCTGCTAACATCCTACAAGCTCACTAGAGCTTCCAACCAATACCGCTGCATAACCAACTAGCATTAACCCTACCCTACTCAGACTCACTGCCACTGCTGCATCCTTGCTCATCATCCTCACTATCAGACTCTAGCAAAATCGCTCTGCCCTTGCCCTTCCTCTTCCATACCGTGCCTGCTAAACCATCCTCATCAAACATCCGCACCGCCTCTGCTGCTGCAAGTGCCTCTGCCTGTCGTGCTGCTGCTACTGCTACCTTCGCTGCTGTTCTTGCCGCCTTGAATGCCGCTGACCGCTTCTGCCTCTTTGCTGAACGTGTACCCTGCCCCATCACTACCTCCCTCGCGGGCCGCCTCTTCTTGACCCCACGCCACTTCGCCACCATGCCGTCCCACTCCATGTCGTAGTCGAGGAGCGACATGGTCATCAGATCGCTGAGCTTCGCGTCACACAGGTTGCCGCGCAACCAACTCTTAATGACGTTCTGGCGGCTGAAGCCGCGCTCGCACTCGACAGTGCTCAACGGCAGCACTGCCACTGCTATCCAAATGCTGACGATATTCGGGTAGGCCGTCTTCGAGTCGGGAGTGGAGAGCATGTTCTTCAAGCTTGCATGAAAGACGAGGTCATCCTGGTGAGTAGACATGATAGTGGTGAAGCTATTCAGCTCCTTTTTTGCCTTCCCCCAGTGGACACCTTCAGGATAGGGGACAGAAGAGCCAGGGGAGAAAGGAGGGTGTTCAGTAAACGGTAGAAAGGGTTGAAGTAAATACACGTCATGAACAAGGCAGAGAAAGACTTGAGCCACATGCATGCTTAAATACGACAATCACCAGGCAGCGTGTCATGAGCGGAGGAGTCACGCTTCCAGAGGTTGCGGAGAGCCTGCAGCCATGCCACGAACTTCCGCTCACGCTTTGCCGCCGTCCGGGGATAGAGACCCTGCTTGAACAGTCGTGTGCCGTTCAACGACGCCAAGTCAGAAAGTCGCGCCTGCAGCTTGCTGATAATGGACAGCACCACCGCCGTCGCCAGCTCCTGCAGCGACTCGATGTTCCCGTCAAATTGTTGCCGTTCAATGTCGGCAGTCTGCAGCTCGTACATGTGAGTCGTCGGGGTGCCGTTCGCGTCCACGCCGCTAATGGTGATGTCGGCTCCCGTAGCTACCAGGTTCAGGAATTCGAAGAAATCTCCTTCTGCGGGGCCGAAGCGGGTGCCGTAGTTGACATAACGAGCCCGCAGCGTCACGATGGTGTTGTCCACCATCCTAAGCACTTGGGTGACGTCGACCTGCGAAGGGGCGAGTACGGGATTAGAAACGGAGAATTATAAAATGCTGGAAACGATTAAATGGTACTCGCACCTGCCGCCGCTGGAACTTCAGATTGAGGGCGTTGAGCTTCTTCAAAACGTCAGCAAGGAAATACAAGAGAAAATGGAACTTCAAGGTTATAACGAGCGCATACATAGCAGAATCATACTCCCTTAGGAGAAGCACTGCTGCAGGGAAAACCTCAACCAGACGCTGGATGGCCTCGCCCCGAGACAACCAGCGGATATTGTGAATCCCTTGCATCTCGAGGTTTGTCTCGGTGACCACCTCCTGCAGCTCTTTGAATCGGGAATGGACGACAATCGACCGGCCGAGAATGTCGGCCAAGGATCGTACGACTTTGTCAACCATCCCCAAGTCAGGGAACTCTGCTGCAGCATCCTTGGCAGCGAGAGCTTCCCTGCACACATAGCAAATGAAGCTGGTCAGAATCCGAGCAGAGAAAACCATAAGGCAAAACTGATGTGGGCCACAACTTACCTATGAGCAATACAGTGGCATTACACAAGGTGAGGAATACGAGTGCGAAGCCGTGCGACAAGCCCGTTTTGGGCTCCCGTCATCACACTCGCTCCATTAGTGCTTATGCCACATATGCGGTTGAGGTCGACGCCTTGTCCCTCCAGGTGTGTCAGCAGGACGGCTTGAAGCGATGCGGCGTCGCACTTCTCGACCGTCAGGTGAGCGAAGAACTCAGTCACGACCGTCGTATCGCGCAGGAATGTCAGATACACTATCATATGCTTGCCCCGCCGCCTGTCGGTGCTCTCGTCAAGCTGGATGCCAAGAAATGGGCTCGCCTTGATGTGGGTCAGCTGCTTCGTGCGCAGGTAGCCGACCATGTTCTCAATGAGTTGGTTAAAGCCATACCTGCACACAAAGAGGTAAAAGCACTGCTTAATAGCAAGAATTTCTATGACCATCTCCAGAATACAAACAACGGTGGCATACAGAAAGATCATGAGAAACAAGGCGCCCCGCAGGATTGACAACACTTACTCGCTTTGGTAGGTTCCACGTTCTTTCTCTGGCAGATCAGGAGTGCCTTGCTGTGCCATGAACTGCACCAGTGATACGAAGAGGAGAACTGGGGCGTCCGACTTGCAAATGAAGTGGACGATCGCCATGAGCCGCTTCAGTCGCGTGGATTCCGCGTTGCCATTTTCAAACTCCACGATGGACCGCTGCTTTGCCTTCTTGCCGTCAAGTTGAAGCTTGCGCGCCATCGCCGCCTCGTGCTTCTGGCTGTGCTGATGCTTCCGCATAGTCTGCTTTTGAATATCGATCCCGCCCTCTCCATTGCGCCCGTACTGGTAATCGGGGTCGTCACCGTGCACCATGCAGACTGTGCACTTCATGCACGAACGCCCCTCGGAGGTTTCAGAGATGACGAGCCACGGAAAATGGCGCGTCCACTGCTCTTCCGCCTTTGCCTGAAGCTCTGCGACTGTTAAGGGAAACGGACCTTCGTCGTCCGACGGTGTGGACGGCGCGGGATCAGTACGAGCCCGCTGCTCGCCAAGGCGCACGAAGGACGTGGAGGCAGATGAGGCAGGCCTACCGAAGGTAAGCTTGCGCTGCTGGTATCGCACCCTTCCAGGCTTGCGCACAGGAAGCACGGGCCCTCCCGAGATGCGAGCGGACGGGCCGACGGAAACGGCAGGTGTGACATGCGGTGACGGGCTGGTAGAACGCCCTGACTGGCTAGTAGGAGGCCCAGACCGGCTGCTAGGAGACCTTAACGGGCTGCTAGGACGCTCAGACGTGGGGGGCGCTGTACCCTCAGGCGCGAATGTGATCCACGGTTCTGTGTCTAGCGGAGGTAAAGGGGACGGTGGGGTCGATACAGTTGATGCGGCATGTGCAGGTGCCGACGCTACTGTGGTAGCACGACCAGTAAGAAGGTCGATGCCTGATAGCCTGGGGAGCAAGGCTACTACATGCTCCTCGACGGGGGAATCTACCGCTGGCTTTGTGGAACCAGCGGCAGCAGCCATGAGACCTATTCGTCGAGCAGATACAAGACTACACTTGCGACTCAGCTGAGAGGACGACTAGGAGGAACGAGGCAGGGGGGAGGCATCTTCTAAAGAAAAACGAAAACCAGAGGGTGACAGAACAGATATGGAGCTACGACAAGAGCCTTGCACTGCCATTACGCAAGGACGCCTCGGTCGGCACCTTGCATGGGACGGTGCCTGATTTAGCACGAAACCCATCTCGCGCTGGCAGGCATCGAGGGTGGCTTCCCTACAGCGCAGGCAATGCGCTGGCAGTATGCTGCATGCAAATCATGCCTTAGAAATGCCAGCAAGCCAGGTTTTGCACATATCGACGAATCGGTAACATCATGTGACTCAGGCAGCTGTAAATCTGATACGAAATGTACAGCGGTGATGAGAGGCCACGCGACGACTTTATTGTGCATGCGACGGTTTCCTAGGACTGGATGGCACAAGTGGCCCAGTGCGCTCATGGGCCGATGGGAGGGTGGGGAACTGGGCAGATGTGTCGGTATCAGATGGAAATATACGCGCTACCTGAAAATTCAGATGACTGCCTACACCTAGTCTGAGAATTCAGACAAATTTATATAACCAAGATGGTCGTTCAGATGGAAAATTAATGGTTGTCAAAAAATCAGATGACACGGAAAATGTGAGTCTGATTCTCAGATGAACAGACGGATTTCGTCTGCTAACGGGAACCCTGCTCCCCAGTACCCTCCCTAGACAGAGAGAGAGGATCGACAGGGTTATCCTAGTGCCACGACATTTCCTTATCACGGGTTTTTAGTCAGTAAGGCGTACACTGCTATAACGGGGTTGCCGCGCAGCTCTGCTACGAAATTCAAATCGCGGTCCCAAATGTGGTCTCCTAACGAACCGCATGCATTGTTGCCCGCCTTGCACTTGCATGCCTAGATCTGGGCGCTCCGCGCCATTTTACGAACCAGATGTTGCAGCTCTACCGAGCCACGACCGTGTGCTCCTAGGCAGCTCTGTTTTGATGTTGCCTCAGTTGTATTGTTTCCTCGTTAATCAATCCTTCTACACACGCTCTTTGAGCTTCATTACAATAACACATCTATTGGTCTACTTGAATCCGCATATAATGCGGAAATATCGAGCACCTGCTGAGCATTCCCCCACCCCACCACCTAACATCGCTGCTCGTACCGCGTCACACGGCGCTTGTCAGCACCTCTTCCGCCTGTCAATCGATTTTCGCTCGGCTGTCGCTTCCCCTTCGCCTCCCCGAGCAGCCATGGCGTGCGGCGTCACGCTCGTCGCGCTGCTGCTCGCGATGCCCGCGCTCTCAGGTGCGCTCGCCTGCTCTCAGGTGCGTGCGCCTGCTCCAGGTGCGCTCGCCTGCTCTCAGGTGCGCTCGCCTGCTCCAGGTGCGCTCGCCTGCTCCAGGTGTGCTGCCTGCTCTCAGGTGCGTGCGCCTGCTCCAGGTGCGCTCGCCTGCTCCAGGTGCGCGTTGTGAGGCCTCCTTGAGGCGCGTAGCTGCTGCCCGCTTTAGCGCCGCGGATGGTCGGATGGTCGTTGCAGCGAGGTTCGTGGTCGCTATCGCCGTGCCGAGATTGCGCCGTGCCACGCGTCACGTTGCCTTGGCCATCTCCTTTCCTGCTTGGGCCTTCGCCGCCTGCTCTACCCGCCCGCTGCCTCACCGGCCTCACCGGCCTCACCGGCCTCGCCGGCCTCACCGGCCTCACCGGCCTCACCGGCCTCACCTGCCTCACCCGTCCTTCTCTCGTCGCCCTTGCCCCGCGCACCCCTTGTAACGCCCCGCGCCCTTTAGACTTTCGGGCAAAACGGGGGTTAAGCAGAGCCTCGCAGCGGCTGGTTAGCCCTTGGTGAACATCCGCGGAGTCAAACACCCTCCCTCCCTGTTCGCCCCTTGCCGCCCCGCTCCCCTCTCTTCCGCCCCATCTACCGGCTCTAGCCTTCCTCACACTGCTGTTTCCCCCTTCCTCACACCGCTGTTCCCCCTTTCCCCACACCGCTGTTTCCCCCTTCCTCCTCCTCTGCCTCCGCTCGTCCCTGCGTGTCGCTCCCGTGCCGTGCAATGCTGACTGGCGCTACGCAGCACGCGACGAAGATCCCATCCGCGCCACTCATCCTTGCACCGTCTCGCGTCCCAACTGTCGCCCTTCCCCCTCGCTCACTGACTCTGTCACCCATTCCCCCATGCTCCCCCTCACCCCACCCCTCCCCCCTCAGCGGCGTCCACGGTGCGTTTCCACGTGCTGCCGCACCCCAAGTGCGTGGGCGACGACATCCGCAGCACCACGCTCATTGCCGGCTCGTACGCCGTGGTGCCGGCCAGCCACGCGCAGCCCTTCACCGTGGATGTGTCGGTGAGTGGCCTGGCTGCTGCTGCTGGCAGCGGGGAGGGGCCACACAGAAAAGAATAGAGGGAAAGCCTTGGGGCGCATGTTTTGCCAAGTGGGCACTGGCACCAAGGGGTCATTGACCTTCACATGTGTGTCAAGCCGTCCCTCCGCCCTCCTCTCCCATCTCTCTCCACTCATCTTCCATCCCTCCTTATTCGTTCCCCATCCTTCTGCCCTCTGTCCCACGCCCCCCTGCCCGTGCCAGGTGACCTCCCCAGGCGGCACGCACGTGCACCTGAAGGAGGGCGTGGGCGAGGGGCAGTTTGGGTTCACGGCGGACGAGAGCGGCGAGTACTCGCTCTGCTTCTGGCTGCACGGCCATGACGTGGGCCGCCACGACGACGGCCGCCACCAGCTGGACGTCACTTGGCGCACGGGGCAGGCGGCCTCCCACGTGCAGCAAGCCGCCACCAAGGAGCGGGTGGAGGTGAGGCGAGAGGTTCTAGGTGAGGAGAGGGTGGAGGAGAGGAGAGAGGGTGGAGGTGAGGAGAGAGGGTGGAGGTGAGGAGAGGGTGGAGGTGAGGAGAGAGGGTGGAGGTGAGGAGAGAGGGTGGAGGTGAGGAGAGAGGGTGGAGGTGAGGAGAGAGGGTGGAGGTGAGGAGAGGGTGGAGGTGAGGAGAGGGTGGAGGTGAGGAGAGAGGGTGGAGGTGAGGAGAGAGGGTGGGGGTGAGGAGAGGGTGGAGGAGAGGAGAGAGGCTGGAGGTGAGGAGAGGGTGGAGGTGAGGAGAGAGGGTGGAGGTGAGGAGAGGGTGGAGGTGAGGAGAGAGGGTGGAGGTGAGGAGAGAGGGTGGGGGTGAGGAGAGGGTGGAGGTGAGGAGAGAGGGTGGAGGTGAGGAGAGGGTGGAGGTGAGGAGAGAGGGTGGTGGTGAGGAGAGAGGGTGGAGGTGAGAAGAGAGGGTGGAGGTGAGGAGAGAGGGTGGAGGTGAGGAGAGGGTGGAGGTGAGGAGAGAGGGTGGTGGTGAGGAGAGAGGGTGGAGGTGAGGAGAGAGGGTGGAGGTGAGGAGAGAGGGTGGAGGTGAGGAGAGAGGGTGGAGGTGAGGAGAGAGGGTGGAGGTGAGGAGAGAGGGTGGGGGTGAGGAGAGGGTGGAGGTGAGGAGAGAGGGTGGAGGTGAGGAGAGGGTGGAGGTGAGGAGAGAGGGTGGTGGTGAGGAGAGAGGGTGGAGGTGAGAAGAGAGGGTGGAGGTGAGGAGAGAGGGTGGAGGTGAGGAGAGGGTGGAGGTGAGGAGAGAGGGTGGTGGTGAGGAGAGAGGGTGGAGGTGAGGAGAGAGGGTGGAGGTGAGGAGAGAGGGTGGAGGTGAGGAGAGAGGGTGGAGGTGAGGAGAGAGGGTGGAGGTGAGGCGAGAGGGAGGAGGTGAGGAGAGAGGGTGGAGGTGAGGAGAGAGGATGGAGGTGAGGAGAGAGGGTGCAGGTGAGGAGAGAGGGTGCAGGTGAGGTGAGGAGATAGGGTGGAGGTGAGGAGAGGGGGTGGAGGTGAGGAGAGAGGGTGGAGGTGAGGAGAGAGGGTGGAGGTGAGGACAGGGTGGAGGTTGTTAGAGTATTCTACCTTCATTCTATTAGCCTACATCGTTTCATTGTCTTAGGTACTTGTACGCACCCCATTAAGGGGTTGGGTTCCCAACCTTGTTGGGTTCCCAAATTGGTTGGGCTCCCAACTACGTTGGAAAAAACGCTCGAACAGCCAAGCGTTTTGCGTTCGAACGCTAGCGTTCCAACGCAAACGCCCAAACGCTAGGCAAACGCGCAAACGCAAGAGCGGGCTGCCCGCAAAAAAAATTCTGAAATTTTGAATTTTCGAAACCAGTTTGCGACGCGCTGGGAAAAACGGAATGACTCGCCACCTCGCAATCTCAAGATGTCTTCCCAACTCCCAACCCCCGAAAAACACCCAACCGCACTAGACCACAAATTATCTAGTCAACCCAACCACGTCTCTACAAACCCTCTCTTCAACAGAGAGGCATCGTAGACTCCAACCATTGTGCTAAACCCAGATCGGGATCTCACTCCTCACGTCATTTCCCGAGATCACAGCGTGTTTCGTTTTTTCCAGCCCCTTATTTCTTTTATGCTAAGCTATGGCTGACGCTGGCGAAACTCCTATTTCAATGGCGACCAACACTAATGTTGCCTCAGGTGAGGCCTCAAGTTCTCCCCAATTTGAGGAAGATAGCACGCACATAGTTTACCAGCACTTCAGAGTGCCCTTAGTTTCTAGCTCCCGCGGTAAGCAGTACGTCTGCAAGTTTTGCACCCACAAGTTTAGCGGATCCGTGGGGCGTTTGGCTCAGCATCTCACGAATTGGACGGGGGGGCGCCGCCGTGAGGTGAAACTCTGCACTGCGGTAACAAAGAAGGTGGCTGAAGAGGTCCGCACTCACTACGAAGCTAGGCTTCAGGAGGCCGAAGACATCCGCTCCGCCGAGGTAGCCGCCATTGAAGCGGTTAGCGGCCATAAGCGCAACCGCATAACCGACTTCTTTGGCGACGAGAAGGCGGATGCGAAGAAGGCTGCGGACGAGGCAATCTGCCTCATGTTCGCGGGCCTTCGCCTCCCGGAGCACCTCGCGGACCACCCTCTCTGGCGCAACGCCGTGGAGTGCATCGGCCTCGCAGGAAGTGGCTATGTCCCCCCTAAGCGCAAGAACGTCGGCGGCGCTGGCTTGCAGCAATGCCGCGTGCGGATTGAGATGGCGCTGGGACCGGTTGTGGCCAGCTGGGTGCATGGAGTGACGATAGCCTCAGACATGATGACCGACAGATGCGGTCGTCCGCAGGCCAACGTCTTGATGATCAACGACAGCGGCGCCGTCTTTATGGAAAGCGTGGATTGCAAGATGGAAAAAAAAACAGGCGGGTACATCGCTAGTATCCTAAGGCCGATAGTGGAGAAAGTCGGAGCGGAGAACATAGTTGCTCTCTGCATGGATGGGGGCAGCAACTACGCCGCCGCCTACAAGGAGATCTTCAATGAGTGGCCCCACATCGAGCATGTGCCGTGTGCCACGCACGTGCTCGACCTCCTCATGGAGGATGTGGGTAAGATGGCTTGGGCCAAGGGGGTGGTCGAGCGGGGCGGCGAAATCATCGCTTACATTCGGAAGCATCACTGGACGCGTGGATTCTTGAGGAGTCCAGAGGTGCAAGGCGGAAAGGGCTTGCAGGTGGTGCGTCCGGCCGGAACAAGGTTCGGGACACAATTTATCGCATTGTCTCGGCTTTGTGAGGTCAAACTGTCGCTGCTACAGATGGTGCACAGCGAGGGGTGGGAGTTGTGGGCAACGGGGGTGCGGAGGAGTGCAGGGGAAGCCTTCCAAGCCCACCTCGAGGACAAGATTTGGTGGAAGGCGGCTGCCTTCTTTGTGAAGCTGATGAAGTTGCCATTCATGGCAATGCGAGCAACCGATTCCACGGCGAAAGGGATGATGGGCAGAATCTATGATCACATGCTGCAGCTGACTGTGGATGTGAAGCAGCTGCTTGAGGGGGAGGATGGGCAGGAGCTGTTGACGAGGGGGGAGGAAAGGGAGATTAACAAGTTTGTCAAGACGCGCTGGGATGGCAGCCTTGCCTGCCCCCTCCACGTGGTTGGTCGGATCCTTAATCCGGGCAACCAGGTGGAAGAGATCTTCCTGGATGATGTGGAGTGCACCAAAGTCTTCAAAGACTTCATCTCCCGCCACTACGAGGGACAGACCATTACCAGGAAGGGTGTGGGGGAGAGGCGCGCCACCCTCGTCTTGCAGGAGGGACTCATGTCCTTCCTGAAACTCGAGGGCAGCTTTGGCATGCCTGGTGCCATTAGAGATCGATTGGCCGTGAAGGAGGGGAAGGGTTGCATGGTGCATTGGTGGACCTGGCACGGCACCGACTGCCCGGAGCTGGCCAAACTTGCTTGCCGTGTCCTCACTCAGCCGGTGTCTGCTTCTGCATGCGAGCGCAACTGGGCAGTGTGGGATTCGGTCCACACTGCTCGGCGCAACAAGCTCGGCTCGGAGAAGCTGAAGGATCTGGTTTACATTGCGCACAACTGGGGGGTTGTGCGCAACTGGCACAAGAGGGATGAGGGACTTGGGATTGTGGCTGGGAACATCCCTGACCTCCCGCTTCCAGAGGGGTACTTGTTGGTGGATGAGGAGGACGTGGTCGAGGAGGAGGGGGAGGGCAAAGAGTTGGATGATGAGTATTGTTAGTGGAGCTTTGAGGATCAAGGGAGTTGGAGATGGGAGGGTAGGGAGGGGCTGGGGGGGGAAGAGGTGGCAGGGTGGCAGGGGAGGCTCGTGTTAGGGTTTGCCCGCAGCATAGTGTTGCAGAGCATGAAGTGGAGTACTCGCAGCGGCTGGTTGTGGGAAAGATGCATCCTGGTTGTGTTGCATGGGAGAGGGGGTAGGTGTGTGTGATGTGATGAATGGATGTTAGGTTGGCTTGTGAATGTACCCTGAAACTTTTAATATTTTATTAATGGGGGTGGTGGATGAAAGTGCCTTTCCCCTTCCTCCCCCCGAAGCCCGTTTTTTTGCCCTGCCCGAACTTTTTTTTAACCCTGCCCGGGCCAGCGTTTTCCTAGCGTTTGCTCCACTCCTGGCTAAGCGTGTTGCGTTTAAACGCTAGCGTTTAGACGCTAGCGTTTAAAACGCCAAACGCGTTTTTTCCAACGTAGGCTCCCAATTATTGGAACTCCCAAATAATCCCAACCAAGATTATTGGACCCACCAATAATCTTGGCTAGGATTATTGGACCCCCAATAAGTTGGCCAACCCAACTTATTGGATTGACCAATAATCGTGGTCACCTCCCAACCAACCCCCCCCCCCTCTACTCCTCACCTTTGTATACCTGCTCCTTTCCTAATACAATTAACTACTTTTTCACATTTTCTCATATGGTATAAGAGCTTATGGCTCACGCCTCTCCCCTGCTCGATCCTTAGCCTATGAACTCTCTCCGCGCCCTTAAGCGCCCTATAGCCGCGCCCTTACGCGCCATCCCTCGGCGCTCTTAAGCGCCCTCCCTCTGCACCCTAAAGCGCCCTCCCTCCGCGCCCTAAAGCGCCCTCCCTCCGCGCCCTAAAGCGCCCTCCCTCCGCGCCCTAAAGCGCCCTCCCTCCGCGCCCTAAAGCGCCCTCCCTCCGCGCCCTTAAGCGCTCTCCTTTCGCCGCATTTCGTCGCAGCACTCTGCTGCATTTTGTCGCGGCATTTCGCCGAATTTCGTCACGGCATTTCGCTGCATTTCGTCGCGACATTCTGCTGCATTCCGTCGCCGCATTTTGTCGTGGCATTTCGCCGCATTTCGTCGTGGCATTCCGCCGCATTTCGTCGCGGCATTTCGCCGCATTTTGTCGCGGCGTTTCGCCGCATTTCGTCGCGGCATTTCGCCGCATTTCGTCGCGGCATTTAGCCGCATTTTGTCGCGGCATTTCGCCGCATTTC